TATATATATATATATATATATAATTAAATATAAATAATTATAATATTAAAACCCAACACACGTAATTACTTGGGTAAAATATAAAATTTCTTTTATTTTTTCCCTACTTAATTTGTAATAAAGTTTAACTTCTTGAAAGTTATTAAAAAGAAAAGGTTCTTCGATAAAATTGTATGACCCCTTAAACGTTCACGGTTCATAAAACAATGATGTCCCATCATCGTCATCATCATCATCATCATCGATTTTGACTTTTCTTCTTACCTCGTCCATCACGGAAGGAAAGTAACCAAAGAAAAAACAAAAGGTTATTAATATCTCTGATAAATGTTAAGTCGAAAATTATCTTATCTACTTTTTCTTGTTTCTTTTTTCTTTTCTTCTCAAACACATAAGCTTTTGGTTGGTTGGGTTGTTGGTCGTCATAGTTCGAGATATCGAGCGACTTTTATCAAGACCACTACCGAGTAAAAAGAAGGTCTTTCTCACTTAGCGACGGATATGACGTAAAAAGGAAAAAAAAAATAAAAAAAAAAAAAAAAGGATGAAGAAGAAGAAGAAGAAAAAGTGGAAGAAGGTTGCCGACCCTTTAAAACATTGTGTCCAAGTGCTCCAGAAACCTAAAATTTCCTTCTAACATTTTTCTCACTTTAGTTATATTATTGCATTTTCTCAACTCGACTTATCATAATCATCATCATCATCATCATCATCATCATCTTTTAACTTATGTTTGTTGGCTAACTTGCTAGCTTGCTTGCGTGTTTTCCGATCAATCGACCGAGAGCTTTAGAAACCGTCTTCGAATAAACCAATGTAGGGGGAACCATCGAAAGCATGCGTCTATTTTTGGGATGTTAAGTCGTGCGATTCGAGTTTCTTTTCCCTCTTAACCTCCTATCCCCTTCCTCCTCCCCTTCCTCCCGACCTTACGACTTTGACTTCTTCTTCTTCTTCTTCTTCCTCTTCTTCTTCTTATTCTTGTTCGAACTTTGCAACGTATCGTTTTATCTCTTTCTCGCACACTCATTCTCTTGTGTTCTAGTTTTGTAACTAGTTGTTTACAGTACTCAAGGGTATTTTCTATTAAATTCTTATCAACTTTTGATGGTTTCACTTTTTTTTTAATTTTACATTTTTTTCACTTCTTTTCTTTTTAATTTATTATACTTGCCAACATTGATAAGAAGAGGTGTACATTATAATAATTTATGGTAATAATATATAAATACAATAAAACAATATATATACTAATACTAACTGTAATTATTAAATTTATTATAGTTATTATATTGATATTATTTTTTAGTGTGTGTGTGTGTGTGTTATTATATTTATATTATATAGTTTTATTATAATATATATTATAATATATTTATTAGTAATAATATATAAATGCACAATAAAACAATATTATAATAATCTATAAATACAAATAATAAAGAATTTTTTAATTATATTTTTTATCAATGTGATAATATTAAATGAAAATTTACAATAAGAATTTATAAATATTGTTGCAATATATAAAATGTAATATAAAACGGCAGAGAGAGTTAATAGTAAGGTTTTATTGTTAGTCTTTCAATATTATAAGAAATACAATATATATATACATACATATAACGTTACATATCAAAACGTAAAAGAAATGATTGAATATAAATCAAATATATATATTTATATATATGGCTATTATCTCGATGTTGTAAAAAGGATTGAAACTATGAATTTTGTTGAAAAAAAAAAAAAAAAACGTAGTGTGTATATATTAGTAAGAAAAGTCCATAAAAAAGATGAATCAATATGAAACTTCCGTAACGAACGTATCGGAATTCCGTACGAATTACCTTTGTTTATTCGAATTTTTTTTTTTTTTCAATAAAAATAAACGAAATAATTCAACGATCTGTAAAAAAAAATTAAACAAATCGGCCAAAATCACCTTTAACGTAATATTTCCACCCCCTTCTCGTGATTTTATTTTCACAAGATCAATGCCATTGCAATACCTATTTGATTTGATTTATTTTGAATAAAAATAATGTGAGAAAAAAATAAATTGCGAATTACAAATAAAAAGGAAATACATTTAATTGATTTTATTTATTTAATTTTTTTTTTTTTTATTATTTTGTTCTTTCATTCGTAATCTTTGAAAAAAATAATTCGAATAAATTCGTTGGCAGAGTAATCGAGAAGGTGGTGGCATGGCAGGCATGGCATCTCATTGGTAGAAAACCATTTTCTATTGGTATATCCTATTTTTGGAAGTAGTCAAGAAGCCTGCCAACACTTCGATCGATCGTACGGTAGGATATTTCCCCCTTGACCGGATCCTTTACTATCCGATACTACTACTATTACCAAACTCGTCGTCCTGATATGTGTCTCGAGTACTATTTTGGATACGTTCGATACAAGTATATTATTGTCTACGACTCGGACCCGAATTATCTCAATACATATATACATATACATATAATAGAAAAAATAAAGCTATCACATTCAAGTTTTACCACCTCTTTCCATCCCCCTTTCCTTCCTTTTACTTCCCCATTTTCTTTCCTAATCCAACGTTACGAATAAATAATATAAAATTGTTTTATCAAATAACACATTGACAAATAAAATAAAATAATATATATTATATAAATATATATATACATTATTAATATATAAATATATTATTAAAATAATAATTTTAATGTATTTTAATTTTTTATATTTTATTATTATTTTATATCTTATTATTTTAATATATTTTATTTTTTTTATTTTTTATAAATTTTATATAAATAAAATTCTTTCGTATATATGAACTATCTAAAATTCCCAGTTATTTCACGAAATAACTGAAATATACACTTTAACTATAACATATATACATGTATGCATATAATATGCAATACAATATATCTCTCTCTCTCTCTCTCTTTTTTCCATCCCCTCCCTCTCATCATCTTCTTCTTCTTCATCATAGTAACTCTCGTTAGATGTACGTAGTGTTATCTTCTCTTACTACTCGAGTATTTTCCTTCCTCTTTTTCCTTCTTTTCTTTCTTTTTCGTTTGTCGCAAACACACCGGGGGTTTACCATCAAAGCTTTGTCGGCGCGTTGGCCGGAACAACGAGCAGATTCGGAATTAGTACGGGCCGATGGAGGAGTTCTCTACGTTCCTGTTAGAAAGACTGAACAAGAGAGAGAGAGAGAGAGAGAGAAAGAGAGAATGAGAGAGTGAGACAATCCTTCCTTGCCCTTTTCCATCCGCCAACAACAAGTTTCTTCTTCCTTCCTCTTCAAACCCCCCTTTTGCACTTTTTCTTTCTCTTTCTCTCTCTCTCTCTCTAATTCTCCATCATTACCACGTTTAATCGTTCCTCGACGTTATCGAGGGTTGAACACCAACCTTATCGATCTTGTTTAAGCTACGTCAGTAACTTGCAGCTTTAACCCTCCTCCATGCTACTCACACACACACACATACACACAATTTATTATTTTTTGTTTGCTTTTTTATTCCCCCTCTCTTAGAACGAGCCAGACATTGTTAGCGTTTACTTCTTTTCTTTTTCTTCATTTCCTTTTTTAAAAATAAAAGAATAAGGGTGGGGGTGGATGAGAGAGAGAGAAAGAGAGAGAGAGAAAAAAATAATGAAATAATTCAGGTAAATCTCAGATAATCTTATATATATATAACACTCTTATGTTGTTGGGTTCTTTATTAAAATGTTGTGTTTTATGAATTTGTTTTTTTTTTTGTTGTTTTCATGAATTAAATAATTAATATGATGAAAGACAGTATTTTTTTTTGTTGTATTAGTACAAAATTAGGATATTGTATTATAGTTCGTATTATAATTAATTTAATTAGATTAGAGTAATGTGTGTTAGTTCGAATAATCGATAAATTTCAACGAAGTACAAATATATTGAGAGTGTTTGGTTACGTATTATAATATAAACCCGTATTTGTGTGTGTGTGTGTGTGTGTTCGTATTCTCTGTACAAATGTTTAATATATAACAAATGTTCTTTTTTTTTTTTTATTTGTTCATTATTTGTTATCGACAATTTGCATAATATTGTATTATTACAATGCATCGAATTTATATCTAATAAATACATTCATATATGTGTTTGTTATTATCAAATGAATAAAATGAATTGAAAGATTTTCTAGAAACATCTGAGCAAATATATATCGTGTACGAATACAGAATATTGAATAAAATATTTTTTTTAATTTTCAAAATTAAAACAAATGTAATGGGGTACATTGTTATGTAATATATGTGTTACGTGTGATAGAAATTTTGTATGGAAATTTGTTACAAAATGCATTGAGTATGTGTGCAAAATATCAAAATGAGATGACTACTTATATTTACAAATGTTCATAATAATATTTTCAATCGTTTTAAAATGAAAACTTTGTAAAAATTCTTACATCGTACGGAAAATTTTCTCCTGAGTGAAATCATATTAAAAGAGGGAGGAATATAGTATGTCAGACTTGGTTTAATTATTTTCTAAAAATTTAGTATGCAAATCATGATGCAGTTGCAGTCATACTATTCAATGTAAAATATTAATTAAAATAATACTTGCATTCGCAAATTTTCATTTCTTGCTAAAAAAAAACAAAAGTTAATAAAAATTCGATTAATTATATGGGAGATATTTCCTATAATTCTCTAACTCAACACATTAGAGTTTGAAACCGTATTATAGAAATGCATGGTCAAATTTGATTGAATTATTTTCTAAAATTTAGTATGCAAATCCTGATGCAGTTGCAGTCATACTCTTCCATGTAAAATATTAATTGCATTCCCAAATATTCATTTATTGCTAAAAATTCTATAGATCTTATGAGGAATTTCCCTACAATTCTCTAACTCAACACGTTAGAGTGTTGAAACCATGTTATAGGAATGTCTTACGGGGGTTTATCCATAGTATTTGATTTGTCTCTTTCTGACGACGATTTGAATCGTCACGTAGAACAGTTTCTCTCTCTCTCTCTCTCTCTCTCTCTCTATCTCTCTCTCAAAGTTAGACGAGGACAACACTATGACTGCGAGAATCCTATCGTCGTTGTGGTACCTCACCATACCGCACCATACCGCACCATGTCTAACCGCACCGGACTGCGATGTGACCGACACCGTGTCACGAAGGAAGTACCTTAAGTACGCGATTTGAATACTACTCGGGTGTGTATTCGATGTTTCTTCGTTTAATGTTCTCTTACAACATACAACAATGAATAAGTAAATACTCTGATGTGAGTTGGTGTTAGTTTTATACAGAGAAAGTAACTTATACTTAAATATCACTCCCTCCTTCCCATGTGTTTACCAACACCAATGACTTTCAAGAATTCCATGGTATTTAACATTTATGAGAGAAGTTATAAATGTACAATACATAAAAATATAATATCATTATTATCGTTGTAATACACGATCGATAATATACAATATTATATACAGCAAGTATATAATCGACCGATCAATGAATCGATAGTACCGGAAGAAAGGATTCTTCGTCCTGTCTGCATAAACGTATTGCTGACAATCTGCAGACTATTACATCGTTCTTTGAATCCTTAAATACTATATCCTTCTCTTATTTATTTCCAATGATCATCGTGGAATCATTTTCCAAGGACACGTTCCTAGAAAGATTCGATACGCTTAAGACAATTGATTTCTTTTACGTTTGATTTTTATTCAAATTAAGATAGAAGTTTATTAGTATTTTATCATTTTAAAATTACCTTATTATCTCGTAACATTAATCGGATTTGGTAATATTCAAAGGAAATGTCATAGATTAATTAAAAATTAAAATATATATATATATATATATATATATTTAAGTGATTTAATAGGATTTCAATCGTCATAATATATCATTATCATAATCGTCAATAGGATTACAATCGACATAATATAATTATCATTATCAAACCTATCTAAATGATATAAAAGTCATTTACTTTGATATCTCTTCATCAACAAACACAAATGCATAATAATTAATTAAAATAGATTCTCATGATGATAGATTATCACTTATCACGAGATTATTTTATATAAAAAAATATAATCATAAAAAGGGAATATGAAGAATGAATTTTTCTTAACTTTAATATCATTAAAAACTTGAATGTAATAATTATGAAAAAAAAAAAAAAATAATCTATGCAATATGCATACACATTTGTCTTAGTTCTCTTGCACGTCTTCTGGAACGATGCAAGCAACGGAGATGAGGTCGAGTACCGAGAAAACGCGTACAAGTAGGTCCTCGTTACGACCTTTTTACCTTGGTGACACGCGTGCGCTAGGCTCGATTAAAATCAACTCGGTTTTGATCCTCTTTCTGTCAATCTTTTTTCTTTTTTTTTTTTTTTTACATAATAAAAAGTTTATGAAACGATAGATGATTTAATTTCATTATTATTATTATTATTATTATTATTATTTAAAATGAAGTTAAAGGAAGCTTTAAAAAAAATAAACGTAGATAAAACCACCCCCACATGACATAAGAAGAAGAAGAAAAAAAAAANGGTCCTCGTTACGACCTTTTTACCTTGGTGACACGCGTGCGCTAGGCTCGATTAAAATCAACTCGGTTTTGATCCTCTTTCTGTCAATCTTTTTTTTTTTTTTTTTTTTTTTTTGTGTCCTCCGTTCAAATTTTTTCCACTAACGTTTCAAATGTATATTTACAATGATTAATTACGTTCTCGTTTAAAATGAAGTTAAAGGAAGCTTTAAAAAAAATAAACGTAGATAAAACCACCCCCACATGACATAAGAAGAAGAAGAAAAAAAAAAAGAGAAAGAAAAGAAAACAAAGTAAAAGCTATTCCTTAAGTTTTCTGATCATCAAGAAGAAGAATTCGTTTGTAGGTCGACGAGTCCTCCTCCTTCATCTCGTCTTCCTCAACCTCCTCCTCGTCTTCTTTAAATCGTCTCCTGAGAGAAAGAGAAAAAGAGATAGAGAATGAGAGGGCAAGTTCCTCTCATCGGTTTTTTTTTTTTTTAAGTCAACTCGACATTTCTTCCTTCTTCATTTTCTACTTCTACTTTTCTACTTTTCTACTTCTATTTCACATCCTAACGACGTCTATTCTTTCGGGGGCCACCTAAGAGAAATTACGCCATGACACCGATGACCCGTCGTGCTTCTCATGACTCAGAAACGTTTCGTGACGTAGTCGTGACTCATGACTACCTTCTTTCTCTATCTTTCTCTCTCTCTCTCTCTATTTCTCTATATATTTTTCTCTCT